ATGAGCCAGCTTTTTCACTGCAAAAAAAATAGGAACAATTAGGAAATTTGAATATTTTGCAAAATAATAATGTCTCGTTTTAAGCAACGCCCCAAAAAATGAAGAAAATAACGTAGGAGTGTACGATTGTTCATTTAACTGGTTAAATGTATACTCATGCCAATAATGGTTGTCACCCCCTTCAATTTTTTTAATTGGAAAGGGGGTGTGGGGTAGGTGGGGAGGGGGGTGACAACAATTATTGGCCTGAGTATATGTACACACAATTCTTTCTTGCAAACAACCCATATGTATACCTTACCATTTTGTGTATCATATATCTTCAACATATATATACGCTGTATATACTAATGATGTAAACATGTACCTCTAATGCCGCAGAACGCGGCCAGAGTGTATATAAAGTTCAGTTCAGTTCAGTGTTTTGCACGGGAATGCTCGCAAGATTGTGTCGTGGTAATAGACGCCTATTCATTTAAACCCTTGTCTATCAAAACATGGTCATAACAAGCCCCGTGAACCACGCGCGGAAGCGTGGCGTTAGATTACATGACAATAGCCAGTGCTTGAAATCGCAATGTTTTCATTTCATTCGAATGTGTAATTTTGTCAAGTGTACTGAGTCAACAAGTGAAGATAGTTTTGTTTCTTCAATCGTCAATTCGTTTTAAATACCTTGTCTACCAATCAGTTTCTTGGGCTTAAAGGCGACGTTTGAAGCTGTGGCTTGTCAGAAAAGTTTTCGTGTACTGAAAATGAAATTTACCACTTTGCCTGAAAAGGCTTTTGTTACGTGATGCCAAAATTTGAAGAACACGGTGCAGACGACGGACAGACGGACGACGTAGCTGACATCGAAATGGTTTGTGATGCGATTTATCGCCAGTCACGATCCCTGAGTTTGCCAAACAATACATTCGACCACACCATTGAGAGTCTGAGTGGTGAAACCCTGTCGAAAAAGGACGTTTCCCTGGGCCGTTTGTTGGGCTCGGGGGGATTCGGATCGGTGTATTTGGGGACGTACAAAAACAACGAAGTTGCGGTGAAAATCTTCCACGCTGTAAGCAAGAACCCCCTAGCTCAAGTCCAGAGCTTCAAGGCTGAGTTGGCGATTTTGAACTTCAAGCATCCGCATATCATTAGAACCCTCACTGCAACGACCCTGGACGACTTCAACGACGGTCCGTGGGTGGTTATGGAGTACGTGAGTGACCAGACTTTGCAGAGCGTTATTAACGACATGGACCAGCAGTTGTGTATGGTACGCAGGTTGAAGCACGCACTGCAGATAGCAAGTGCAGTACAATACGCTCACGATAACTGTATTGTACATCTGGATATCAAACCTGTCAACGTTCTTCTCACCCAAGATGACGACTGCAAGTTGGGCGACTTCGGTTGCTGCCAAGAAGTGGAATTCAATACGGGTCGAGTTAGTCCCACAAATCGATCTGCCTTAACCGGAACCTTTGCATACCGGGCACCTGAACTTCTCAAAGGAGGAGCGCCATCTTTACAAGCTGATATTTATTCATATGGAGTAACACTGTGGCAAATGCTGAGTCGGGAGACGCCTTACGCTAACGAAAACCAGCACGTTGTCATCTTCGGTGTCGTCGCATACGGACTCCGACCGAAGCATCCCGTTATCGGAGATGAGCCGTTTGATAAACTGTATCAGGATCTATACACCCAGTGCTGGGTTGCTGAGCCGGACGACAGACCAACATCCTCGGAGTTGATGGAGATCTTGGAAACGTGGAAACAGTATATCGACTAATGTAAGGTGGTGTTTTCAAAACGATTCCTGTGATGAAGCCAGAGTGCTAAGTTACCTGGATAACATGTTGGACTGGATAACCTCAAGAAACATTACCCTGGCCACATGACCCTTCGACTATATTTGCTTAACACTAAATTATCAATATTCTACGTTGACGTAATCATTACGGGCCTGACTGTTGGGAACATATCTGACGACTTATTTGTTTTGACGGTGCTAAGATTATTATTTTGGTAGCTACTCATCAGTCAACGTGATACAATGTGCTATTTCTCTGTGATCGTGATACAAAAGTGCTCAATATAATCATGAACTATGCCTATTTCATTTGTGCTATATTGTTCTAAGTGCTTGTGACGTGCAGTGAACGTTAACGCTGCTACATGTACATACATTTCAAGCACATTTAGCGAATTGATTTCCCAATGCGACTTTCTTGTCCGTTGGTCCTTTCTGTGCTGTGCAAGTGTCGCTAATATACATGATAAAAAAAAAAAACTCAAAAAAATATTATTTTCTGTTGTATCCATTTTTTTGGAACCAAAAAATGTTATTGTTGATATTTTATACATTGTTGTTAAGCGAATGTTGTGACGTCATGTACATTGTTTGAATCCGTCCAAGTTTTATTTTGTGATATTGTTGATGTATGGTCAGGTACCATTTACTGTAATGTATATATATGGGCGTTTTTGCCAAACTTGAAAAATTGTACCATAGCGAAATAGCACGTACTGTAAATCTATACCACGCTGGCTAAACAGTTTTCACGAACCACAATTGTACATTTTGTACAGTTTTTGTAAAATAGCAAGTATCACAACTTTGTTTCCTTCTATATGTAAATAATGTGTACATAAACACTTCCGCGTTTTTATTTTTTTATAATAAGAAAAAAAAATGCATTTTTTATCTTGCGTAATTAAATATGTAAAGTCACACTACTTGTAACATAGTTTAGGAAAATGCATCTTGTAAATATCTCATGAGAATGAATGTCAGTGCTCCGTGACGTGTCACTTCATTTGTTCTTGTAACACGCTGTCACTATTTTAGAGTTTTCTAACACTCCACCCGTTAACCCTGACTCGAATTTAACTAATATACCCTGGTTAGAAGTAGTTAAACATACTTAATGTAGCCTGCCCTAACCTTGGAATAATTAGAAGCAGGGTTACTGGAGGAATTCTGTCAGATTTGATCATGTTTATAAATGTTACGTCTTCCTGTGTAAATGATGTACATCAACATACTAACTTGTAAATATCATTGACGACCATTTGCCAATCATCTTTACGAAATAAACTATTGCTGTCAATCACGCTGCCTTATTACTTTGAGACTGACAAGGGCATGACCAAATATCGTGCAGCACGCGCGGTATCATATAACTGGTATCGCGAGGAAAGGCTCGACATGCCATCTCGTGCACGGAAAGCATGTGATTTGCTAAAACATGTGTCACGTCTTGCATGAAAGGCAGATAAAGGCACTAACACATGCTGTGTGTATGACTTATTCGTTCCGTATGCCTGAGGTATAATATCATTAAAACCAGATCTTAGTTCTCCCGACCGCTAAACAAAGTTCCGAGTACGACTAATCAGAGTGTCGCGTACCAAAATGACAATCGGAATGCATTTTCTTATCATGCAACCTCGAAAAGGTAAACACGGGGTATTCCGAACGACAGGATGGCTCACCAATGATCTTGGTTCGAATCCCTGGATGGTTACAATGTGTGAAGCCACAGTGCAGTGCCATTTGAACGTTAACACAACTGTCTATTCTTGGTGTGGCTATGGAAAGGGGCGATGACGGTCGAAAGGATATACAGCCTTGTCCCTCGTCGCGATTGATAGGAATAATGCCCAACGCGGCGCAGATTCCATCTGACTCACTCAATCATGCACTTGACATGTGTATTAAAAGTACTGTCGGAAATAGCAAAAAACTGTTTTTAGGCTGTTACTCTGTGTCCTTAAAATTGGCACAATTGCAAATAGCATATGTCGAAATAACCTACTTCGGCCTAACTGGGCGTTCAGCGGGATGCGTAATACGATATCCAGAAAAGCATGTTTACTCGTAAAATCGGGCAAAACTTAGAAAAAATACGAATAGCTGCTGAAAACAATAGATCAGACTATAGATGGCAATTAGGTCGCTCAGCCAGGTATGACGACAGACCGTCGACTCACCTGGCATGAAATGCACGTGCTGCCCACAGGCACAAGGGGTCATCTCAAAGATATTTTGTGCTTTTTCATGTGTGTTGACTATGTCTCATCTACTGATTAACATCTTACGTGTCTTTCTTTCATAAAGTTTATGTTGAGATATGTAAGAGAGTATGATACCCGAAAACCATAGAAACGCATCGTAGTATATAGGTGCCATGACCACCCGGAGATCGACAGGACTGGATATTATTTGTAAATTGTTATGACGTGCCGTGTACCTCCCCAGTATAATTGCCCTAAAGGATTATCTTATCTTAGCTGATATCTCTATCCCCAAGCCCGACCCCAGGTTTTGCTTTTGAGGCGACCCCTCCTATCTGTTTCTTTTTATAGTGACAGTAAGACTGCATGGTAGCTACATCCTTAATAGTTTCGGCATAAAAGTTATTATTTTTTACGTCAGCTATCGTTTATAATGAATCTACGTCTAATTTCAAATTGGGCATTTAAAAAGTGTCCTTTGTAATACAATATCGTCGCACACTAATTTGCATAAAGCCATGGTCTGTTCCAAATAAGTCTTTTTGGACTTAGAAAAAAGCCGCATTGCTCATTTCTGCACTAATTTCCCCACAGTAAAGTCATTTTTCTCCGTTTCCTATCTCTCTACCACTGAGACTGTAGTTAGGCCGAACTTAGTTTAACAGATATTTCACACTTTCACCTATCAACTACATAAATTGTAGAGATAAATGAGAAAATACAGTTTTTTTCTGTTTCCGACAGTACTATTTTATAGTAATCTTTCACACTATTTTCTGCGATAGGTCACCTGTGATAATATTCCCACAGCCAGTCGTTTTAAATAAATTACTTGGTATCCCGGCTCAAAGTTCTCTCATTAAAGTCCATCAAACACGTAACGGAATCAATACTACAATTCTCATGGTTAAAACTCACAACTCGCCTGCGCTAGAACTTTGCCAATTCCGTCATCGCGCTATCGATCGATTCTGACTCAGTATTCCAAGATGGCGGAGAACCTGGCATCAGACGATAGTTCTGAGGACGAAAATGTTATGTTTACCAGTGAATCCGCCACAACAGATCTTATAATCGTAGTCGAGGATAAGAAGATCTTTGTTGAACGGATTGTCCTGGCGTTATCGTCGCCTGTTTTCTGCCGCATGTTTCATTCAGATTTCAAGGAGAAGTCTGCACAGGAGATCCCTCTCCCGGGCAAGAAATACAGAGACTTTGTGGAATTTCTTCTGTGTATCTACCCCTCGACGATGAAACAGATCGACAAGGACAACGTGGATGTCGTCTTGTCCTTAGCAGACGAGTACCAAATGGAACAACTGAAGAAACGTTGCGAGACGTACCTGTTATGCCGATGCGAGAAAAACAACCCTTCGAACAGCGATCTCGCTCATATACTCTACCTATCCGATCGGTACTGTTTGAGAAAGGCGTTTGATAAATTTGCAAGCATGGCAGTTTACAGGCCAACATACGTAATGAAGTCCTACTCTGACTTCAATTCGCTGAGCGGAGATGCTAAGGCCGATATTTTGTTCCGACGCCTGGAACTGATAGAACGCCCTTCAAGAGAAATTCTTCGACATCTACCCGGATTAATCACGGCCATCCAGAACAGCTCGCTCGACTGTGGACGGAATCACAAAGAGCGGGTGGCAAGCGGCAGGTGCTTGGAATGCATCACCTCCATCCTGAACGTCAACAGCATCGAGTGTTTGCGACAGCTTCGACAATGTAAATCCCTCACCGATAAACTGGTATCTGCTTTCAAGGACGATAATACGTATGTTGTCAAGAAGAAGGTAGCGATTGCTGACATGCCGAATGTGTATCGACCTCTCTAATCAGCATGATAATAATCACAATGGCTCGTGTTGTTCCATGAGGTCATCTTGATTATGGATTCTGTGCAAAACGAGCTTGTCTGGGAGCGTGAGAGACAATTGCTGTTGCACCATTGCTATCGATTTCTGAAAGAAGGTTTATATGTGTCAGTGTGTAAAGGTGTATGTTATTTCACTATTGTCCGAGATGCAGTTCAACAAATGGTGGTGTGCAAGTGACAAATGGCTACCTTATAAAACCGAACTGCGTGAGCACATGCACATGGTATTCCGATTGAAGGACGCTCTCTTTCAGCGATGCAGCTGGTGGAGACGTGTAGTTGTGTGGCTGTTTTTGTTTTGAAAATCAGTGGTTGGCAACTTACGTGCAGGTCGGGAAACGATAAATTGTGTTTGCTGACGTTAGCAGGGGAGTTTCAAGAACTATATACACTCTTTTACATTAGAAACGTCACCTCCTGGTATCGCCATGGTCATGTGCAGGGTTTGTCAGCACTTGGCCCTTGTTTGTTGGTTTGTGGCAAAGCTGTCAATCACAGACCAAATCCTGTGAACAACGTAAGATGAAAAGACATGTCCTGTGACGGTAGTGTTTACTAATGTAGGAAATTACCCAATCAGTGTGACTCAGTTTTAAAAAATGCAGAAAATTACCCAATCGGTGTGACTCATTTTTCACTAATGCTGAAAATTACCCAATCAGTGTGATGCAGTTTTAACAGATGCAGAAAATTACCCAATCAGTTTGACTCAGTCTTCAGTAATGGTTTTTATGAAGTAGCATGTACAATGTGAATGACGTACACACACACACACACACACACACACACACACACACACACACACACATTCACCAGCCGATCTGTCCTGGAAACGGCGCGTTATAAACATTCTCATAATTAATATTATTATATGTGTAACGTTGTCATCTGGTGTATTAGCAACATAGCTTACACTAATGTAAGTGGCATTTTAGAAGCTGGTATGACGAAGATGAACAAGTGTACTGGACTGACAGTTTCTCTTTACAATCGATGCGACGTTTTTGGTGTAGATGCTTACACCGTTATCACGCTAGTCTGTCTCATAGTCCTTGAACCACATTATTTGTCTTTCTGCCTAACCCTTTCAACAATACTAAATGAAGCAAGTCTAGATTTCCTCAGGTTCAGGAATATCCTTTCTCACTTGGGCTTCTTTCCAATTCATGAAGATTCGTTTTTTTGGACAAAACCTATCACTTCCTATTGTATTCACTGTGTGTTTTAATACATGTATTCACCCAGGGCTGTGTTCGTACTGTCTAGATATACATGATATAATCATTGAAAGTGAACTGAATTGCTCTTCCTGTCGCGCTAGTTTGGTCAATACGGGACCATTTATTGTGCATTGTCGTAATTCCTTGGCAATATATTATGAACGTATATGCATGTAAATTTCAGGAATCCGAAACACTGCGTGAGTTGTATGGGTCTGTGTCACCTAACAAGCAAATTGTGATAAATATTGGACGCTATAAATGTGATATCTGTAGTAGCAGTGGTATTTTGTGTAACCGTTGAATGCAGAACAAGTGTCATTTGGCTTTTACTGTATGCGTTTATTATGGCGGTATTATGCGCGTGTCTGGATGTGTGCCGTCATGTCCCGGTGGTGTGATTGGTTGCTGATTCAACCAATCACTGGCTTGCCTTGACTTTGACAATTATTTATAGTCCGCTTATACACAATTTGAATATTACCGTGGCAGTAGAGACATCTTTAAACATCTTTCAGATAAATATGGCGAGTGGGTACACTGCGTATAGATGGGCAGTGCACGTGAAAAACGTGAGCTTTTTCGCTGTCTACCGATACTTGTTGAATAAATGATCAGTTCATGAATGAAGAATAAAGGTAAATGCAGATAAAATGAAAGCGAATTTCAGGATAGGTTCAAAACATTAAAGGAAATTCTCATTCCTGACATGAGCGTCTTCTGTAAACATGTCGTGCACATGCTGGCGTCCCAAATTTTAGACACATCCCTCGACTTACAACTTAGGCCAGTTTATTAATATCTTGTTTGTCGTGACTTTTTTCAAAACTGAACGGATACGGACAGAAATGATTATTTGTGTTATATGTATGTATTTCTTTTAGTTTAGCAAGTTACAGGTCGTAGTCAACCTAATTGGATTAAATGTACCGCTGGACATCTTTGGACCACGCTCCTGCGGCTCGAGGTATAATGAGACGGGACAGAGGCTGGTTTCCTTTGCGAATATGATATACGTGAGCAAAAAGTTGGAAATTGAATTGAACGAGTTGTTTCATCACAGTTCTTACAGATGACCGAAGTTTAGGATCAGCCGAGCGGGATAGGAATAGCAAGGGATATATCTTAACAAATGCATCACCCTTCCCATGTCATCCAAATTGTGTGTCACCCAAGAAAACCCATATGTCATCCATGCCTTTTGGACCCATCTTTCAGGCATAATTAAGGTCACTTTAGAATTGAAACGCTTGTCACCCACAAGAACACATATCCACCTAGCACTAATGTTGACGGAGGATCCAGCGATGGTTGAGCTTTAGAATTTGACAATGGAATGAATGCTGTTTTGCTATTTGCATGTCCTTTCTAAATCGTGTAAACGTACCCTGCTGAGTGTTTTATTCCACAATGCCTGTTATATTTTGTAATGCTTTTCACCAGAGGCCAAATATTGTACAATCCTCCAGGTCTGTTTTAACACAATCAAACCTAAAATTTGAAAGCGAAATAAAATCAATAAATATATTACGCTATTTCTTGTATTTTCTTTGGAAACAACGAGTTTCAGTGACCTGTAAATACCACAACACCACTGATTGGGGATTGATTGGACAAAATGCGGGCCAGGTATCCCGTGTGGATACCTTGGGGGGACCCTACAACCATGGACTGCCTGTATTTGTGTGAAGCGTTTGCTCGTCACGCCGAAGACCCTGGTTCGATTCCCTACATGGGTACAATACGTGAAGCCCATTTCTGGTGTCCCCCGCCGTGATATTGCTAAAATCGGCGTAAAACTAATCTCACTCACCCACTGTATTTGTGTGACCCTGAATGGAGTCTCTGTAAAAAACATGTTCCCAGTACCTCAAGCTGGCTGCTGACTGTAATGCTGGGTCTGTCTGGACTTTGTTGATCCACATCCAGATCCGTCAGAATCGATTACTTACACAGCTCACATACAGCTGGAATATTAGTGACTGGGGGTCGCCAAAATACAATTCTTGGTAGTTGAACTGCGATTTGAATTGGTATCAAGGCCACTCAAGGGCCATGATTGAAAGTGTCTCAGACACACCCTGTGGAGCATGACCAGAAGGAAATCCACGAATTTTCTCAAGTGCACATACCACATGTCGGTAGTTATTTTGTTTGTTTGTTGTTTAACGCCGCACTCAGATATATTCCAGCTATATGACTGCGGTCTGTAAATAATCGAGTCTGGACCAGACAATCCAGTGATCAACATGAGCATCGATCTACGCAATTGGGATAGGTGACATGTGTCAACCAAGTCAGCGAGCCTGCCCACCCGATCCCGTTAGTCGCCCCCTTACGGCAAGCATGGGTTGCTGAAAACAAATTTTAACTCGGATCGGGTTTGTCGGTATTTAATCTGCATGGGTAACAATGTTCATTCATTTTTCTGCCGACCCGGGTTAGAATGAGCCTTCAGTAACCCATGCTAGTAAGAGGCGACTAACGGGATCGGGTGGTCAGGATCGCTGGCTTGGTTGACACATGTCATCGGTTCCCAATTGCGCAGATCGATACTTATGCTGTTGATCACTGGATTGTCTGATCCAGACTCGATTATTTACAAACCGCCGCCATATAGCTGGAATATTGTTGAGTGCGGCGTAAAAATAAACTCACTCACTCATTCTTCTGCCACTATAGTACGAAGACGTTTATCAGATGACCAGAGATGGCACATTACTGGTATGCAATACTCCAGTATGGCCTGTAAAGACCCTGGTCGGGAAATGAATGTCCACTACACAGTTGTCAGTCAAAAAGCAATGAGATGAAGGATCGCCTACGTTCTGGAAGACCCAGGGTGGCGTCAGATCGTGGAGACAGGCCACTATGAGGCTCACTCGACAACTATTTGCCACAAGCACTGTTCTGAGGCACCTACGGTTACCATTTCGCCAGGTCTCTACGAGAACAGTCCGGAATCGCCAAAGGCGAGCCGGATACAGCCCAAGAGGGTTCATCATAAAGTCCTACTGAGCGGTCATCACCAAAAGTCACGTTTGGCTTGGTGTTTACCAGGCTAGAATCTGAGGACTTGGCGAAGAATACATTAGTCTGATGAAAGCCGATTCCTTCTTAATGTAACTAATGGAGAGTTTTAAGGCAGGGATATAAAGCACTTGCAGCAGCAAACAGATATTGATTGTTCCCAGGATACAAATAAACCTTCTTTGTGTCTCAACATATACACGACTGACTGACTGACTGAGTTTGGTTTTACGCCGCTTTTAGCAATATTCCAGCAACATCACGGCGGGGGACACCAGAAATGGGCTTCACACATTGTACCCATGTGGGGATTCGAACCCGAGTCTTCGGCGTGACGAGCCAACGCTTTAACCACTAGGCTACCCCACCGCCCCTACATATACACGAACACACACCCATTACAAAGCTGGGTTAGTATTCTTACTACTTTGATGAAACCAACCATCACGGCTATGGACATGACATAACCTTAAAACGTAATTCCGGCAACTGGGATTCGAACACACAACTATTACAAAGCTCTGCACAGCGTATTGTCGCACCTTAAATACATGGTCGCCGTGCTCCCATGGACAATACCAATGAATCACGACCCGTGTCAAATGAGGCACTTGTCCAGATATATTTTTCTGGAACCGGAATGAGTTGGGATTTATGCCGCATTTAGCAATATTCCGGCAATAATACAGCAGTGGGTACCATAACCGGTCTTCACAAACTGTACCCATAGCTCGAATAGAACCGGAGTCTTCAACATGACCAGCGAACACTTTAACCACTAGGCTACCCCAGCACCCCTGAAAGGGTCAGGATATGGCTGGAAGATAACAGTGGCATTACATAACAGGCACATCTGTGATGATTACCGAGACAAATAACACACTACCCACAATGTACCTGTAGAAATTTATTCTGCTGATATACATGATATCATACACTAACAACCAAGATATTCTGTATTGCGAAGCTGATATGAAGATCTTCCACCCAGTTACCACCCATGCAAGCCAGACACTGACAGTGCTAAATACATATATATTAGTTTGTCTGGACTGTTACATAGTGCCACAGATATACCAAGAGATCACAGCATCAGTATCTGTAACTTCAGCAAGGTTAAATAGGAGTCACTGGTCTACCTGATTAGGAATGATTACTAGATTTCAATTATTATGGGATACTCTAAATTGGACAACTAACTAATTAACTAAGACAGTTCAAATCCCTCCATTCAGGGTTCAAATAAACAATACATTCATGCTGGGTTTCATCATTTGATGAACCCATGTCAATGGACCAATTCATTTGAAAGTGATTAATTACTGGTAAAGTAGTGAGTGAGTGAGTTTAGTTTTACGCTGCACTCAGCATTATTCCAGCTATATGGCGACGGTCTGTAAATAATCGAGTCTGGACCAGACAATCCAGTGATCAACAGCATGAGCATCGTTCTGCATAATTGGGAACCAATGAGGTGTCAGCTAAGTCAACGAGCCTAACCACCCGATCCCGTTAGTTGCCTTTTACGACAAGCATGGGTTGCTGAAGATCAATTCTAACCCAGATCTTCACGGGTTACTGGTAAAGTAAGTAAGGTTTTAACAAAATCATATTTGGGATGATACACACTATTTACTATGTTTCTTATTAATTCCCCACCATCAATAAACAAATAATACTCAACAAAGTAAAAAATACAAACAATATTTTGTGAAACATTTAACTTACTGGTAACCTCTATCCAGGCAGTTGGCCAAAGGGAGATAACAAAGGTAAAGACCACAATGTCGAGGTCACCTGAGGTAATTGTAAGTACAATGCATAGGTAGTGCTCACAGTGGCTGCTGAATGAGGTGACATGCTTGAAAAAGCATGTGACCTTCAGTTTGTCAGATGGTGACCCTTTGTGGACATTTAACAAATAGAAAAGGGCATTGCCTGGGTGGCTAATTTAGTTGCAATTAACACAAAGGTAAATACAATGAGAGCAATGAGGCTCATGTGTTACTCAAGAACTATACCTGTAAAGACATCTGGATTTCCGTTCAACCAGAGATTTTATGACAAGGAAATGTAGATTTTTCTTCACCATGTTTCAGGATGTGAAAAATGATCGAAAATCCTTTTCATCCTGGTTTCAAGGGACTTATTTCAAAAGTTTTGCATGGAAAAACATATTACTATTCTTAACAAAGAACTTATTTAGAAACTACAGGATTTTTACCCAGTACATTTACCCTTGTCTTGTACACAAATGTACACAGATACACACAGACTCGTCACATATTAGCCATAACAATCACACTATAACTTACAGTCGATCCTGACCGCTGTTCTGAATACATCTCATACCATGCTAGGGTGACATAGCCCTGTATACAAACCACATACTTCTACTACATATGATGTTCCAAATACTGTTTAATGGAATGGTAGAATAGGAAATGCAATCTGTTAGAACCAAAATGCATAAAATTACAGCTTCCATTGTATCTTAGCAGTTGTTCTATTTACAAATTTGTTAATATGAAGACTATATAGGCTGTTTTCTTAAGCCAAAGGTTAAGATGGTTGAGGCAAAATGAAATAAACAACAGGAGAGATTCGGATCCACAACAGAGAAATACTGGGGGAAAAATAATACAGTGCAACATAAACATTGGTCCTTGCATACTGCTATAAGGCAAAGCTGATTATTTTTAATGTAACACTGAAAAGGTTGATGTGTTTTGATTAATTATCTTCAGTTAGCATGCTAACAGGTTACAATACAAATATGGAGTACCGGTAAATACCAAGATACATTAGTCCAATGATGCATATCACAGCACAGGACAATGCCAATATTGTGATAGGTGTCATATCACAATGCTAATACTGTGATAGATGTCATATCACAATGCTAATATTGTGATAGATGTCATATCACATTGCTAATATTGTGATACATGTTATATCACACTGCTAATATTGTGATAGATGTCATATCACAATGCTAATATTGTGATAGATGTCATATCACAATGCTAATACTGTGATACATGTTATATCACACTGCTAATTTTGTGATACACGTCATATCACACTGCTAATATTGTGATACACGTCATATCACACTTACATTGTGATACACGTCATATCACAATGCTAATATTGTGATACACGTCATATTACAATGCTACTATTGTGAATCTTTACTTACAATGATGCTTATATTGCCCTGCCCTGCATATAACCATGATTGTATCGTGGTACATTTTCTATGATACTTTTGGGGGGGAATTACAGATGAACATAAACAATTTAAACAAAGTGATAAAGTACATGAAATGCCTCCCCATGTATTAATTCATAACATCACTCTGTATCAGTTTCCAAAAAGTATTATTAACTCAGCTTTGCAAGAGTGAGTGAGTGAGTTTAGTTTTACGCCGCTTTTAGCAATATTCCAGCAACCATAAATGTACTTCACACATTGTACCCATGTGACAAATCGAACCCGGGTCTTCGGCGTGACAAGCGAATGCTTTAACCACTAGGCTACCCCACCGCCCTGCTTTGCAAGAACTCAGCCAGATTGTAATTGAAGTAGAAACATAAAACAGCCACAATCCAAAGTTCTGAATCTGATTGTATAATAACGTAAGTAGCAATAAGGTATGGCTTTCATGATACGCTTAGAGTACATTAAAGAATGTGATACAGTCCACATCACATCACTAGCCTGAGGCTTCCTCTCATACCATTCACCTTTCATTGTTGCTGCATTTCATATTGCACTTCTTGTAGTGTCTCTAGCCCCAGGTTACAATTCAATGCTTAAAGTATCCTTCAAGTATCATCAAACCCCACACAAATAAGACTTAAAAACACAGAAAATATAATACAGTAAAAATAAAAACCACTTCTACATAATAATAAGTAGTAACAATTTCATTTGATATTCCTTTAACTCACTAAAATTATCAAAATCAGGATCTCACCTCAAGAAGAGGATTTCATTTATGAAATGATGTTAAGTTAATCTGTTTATCAGATTATATCTTGATACAAATAAATAGATCACGACTTAATTTGTGGTTCTGCTTACAAAAAAACAAGTATTAAGTATTCAGTTGTGTCCTCAATAAAAATAACAAATAAATGATGAAAATTCAAGAAACAAGGGATATGTATAGAACATAATTTTGAGTACTTGCATAATATTGCACACACAACGGTGTGAGAATAAGGAATGGCATAGGGATGGCAATAATAATATATATCAATGTTAGTTGCTAACTGTCAACAAAAGGACAACTAAAAAGTCACCAAAAAGGAAAACCAAATACAGTATTTCTGTAATGAGTCATGAGTATAAACACAGAAGAAATAACTTTACTGTTATTACCATGACAACAGTGACACAAAATGGATAGAAAATGTAACAAATGGATCATCATAAAGATGTTGATAAAATCTTCAAATCTTCACACAAACAACTTTGGCATAATTTGTAGAGAGAATCTTTGAATGCATACCTGACTAGATATATGCCGGTAACTATTCTCATGTTATCCAATATTCAATTTAAAATGGGGTCCAAATTAGAAGTCGACAGGAGGAAAGAAAAAGTTTAGGACCCCTACACATGCAAAGTTTAACATCAAGAGATAAGACAAAAGCCCCTTGGCTTTCTTAAATATGTCTTGCAGTGAAGTCAACATTAGCTTGCATCCTGCTAGAGACAGTATAAACTAAAACAAACAACCCAAAATATCAACCATACACTTCAAGATTGCCCCGAAATACACAAAAACTGTTACACTAAAAACTATGAGAACCCCAAAACAAACGTCCTATGAAGGATGAGTGAGTGAGTGAGTATGGTTTTACGCCGCTTTTAGCAATATTCCAGCAATATCACGACAGACACCAGAAATGGGCTTCACACATTGTACCCATGTGGGGAATCGAACCCGGATCTATGGCGTGATGAGCAAATACTTTAACCACTAGGCTACCCCACCACCCCTATGAAGGATGAAATGAATCACACAGTGACACACAACCAAAGTGCCAACTACTCCCCCTGGCAAACAATCACCTGAATGTTTAAGCTGCCTAACAGTGATAATCAATACAATCTTCCTCATCTAATCCCTTATTACTAATAATAATTGGGCTATAAACAGACTAACTGTTAACAACTGCATTCTGACTTCACATGTTTTCTACGATGGTGGTAATGAGTTTATGCATCGTTTGGTCGGTTCTGGAACAACAAATCAATGACGCTTTCATCGGCCAGTGTTGACGTATCACCAAGCTGGCGGTCACCGACTGCAGTCTTCCGCAGGATACGTCTCATGATTTTCCCTGATCGAGTTTTGGGCAAGGCTGGAGCATTTTGGATGAAATCTGGTTGAGCAAATGGTCCAATCTTGGCACGAACTGAAATACAGCATAAGGATTAAACTGAAGCAGACTCTAAAATAAACAACATCTGTTTATGTTTATTTTAAACATTTTCACAACTTTCACTGACTTCAACATACTTCAAATATTTGGCCACAAAAACATTAAAAAGTGTCCAAATTGTAAAAGATCTTGGCAGACTTCCTCTTTGAAAAATATCACAAAAAACTCTAGACATCAGAAGGAAATTAGTGATGTCGCCCCGAGCAATGATTCAACCCCAACCACCCTATTTACAGCCAATCAGGAGATGGTAGACCGATGTGCGTCGTGATATGGGTCATACGAACATGTATACAAAATTAAAATTGTAACCTATTTAATGAAATCTGAAACTCATTCACGCTTACCAATATTCTTTAGTTCAGTTGTAAGATCAGGGGTGAATTCAAATCCCTGAAACAAAGAATTATAAAGACCATGATAATGTAACTACAATTAAATTGTAACTCTAGTCCATTAACATGTTAAACAAACTACTGGTGCTGACGGATTAATGAGATTAACATTGTCCCTATCCTTCAAACCATAGTCAAGCTATGGATAACACGGAACCCACCATCCCCATAGCATATGAGATATGTATAGCACAGCAGCCAACATTTCACAAAGTACTTGTTATAATCTGGTCAGAGCACAAAGCGATACAATAAAAACTGTCTAGCATACAAAACAGCATTCTGAAACTCAGTTAATATATTGAACACCTAGTTTCCATTTTGACAACAGCACCTTCTGCTGATATGAGATGGATGTTTCAATTGGACTGATGCAACACCATCAATATACTTCATTCCAGTTGATAAACAGGGTGCATTCATAGAAAAAGGGTTTAAGGCTAAATAACATTCCTCTTTTAACCGATATCTATGAAAATGTTGAGATATTTTCACAGATTGGCATATCATTCGTACAAATTGAAATCATATTTTTGTTCCAGCTGCAAATTTGTAACAGAAAAAATATTTATATATTCAGGACAGTTCGCAGTTGAGGTATAGTCAAGAGTGTTGAGGTATAGTCAAGAGTGTTGAGGTATAGTCAAGAGACTTGAGGTATAGTCAAGAGAGTTGAGGTATAGTCAAGAGAGTTGAGGTATAGTCAAGAGTGTTGAGGTATAGTCAAGAGAGTTGAGGTATAGTCAAGAGAGTTGAGGTATAGTCCAGAGTATTGAGGTATAGTCAAGAGTGTTGAGGTATAGTCAAGAGTGTTGAGGAAGTGTGTCACCCACCTGCTTCAGGGTGACGAAGCAGTAAATGCACTCTCCCTTGATCTTGTGTGGGTGAGAGACAGACGCTGCCTCAGTCACAGCCTTGTGCTCAATGAGGGCGGACTCCACTTCCGCTGTGCTCAACAAGTGGCCGGACACATTCACCATGTCGTCTATACGTCCCGTGATCCATATGTACCCGTCTTCATCCCTGCGTGCACCTGAAATACAGAAAGTCAGTCAAATCTGTCATTGCATGGCCTTTTGGGAGAGGGGGTGCCCCTTTTGAAATTCTGTCACCCTGTCCTTTTAGGATCATGGGGGAAACATTATGTCCCATTACGACAAGGGTAGGCTGCCAGGGACATGTGAAACCCAGAATCACCACAAGGGGTCTCATCCGAGAGACTACAGCTGCATTTCATAGTACAGTCAGCTCTCGTTAATCCGACACTCATTAATCCGACAATCACGTTAATCCGACAAAAAATTAGGGAACCATTTAAAACAGTGATAATTACTCTCGTTAATCCGACATTCTCGCATTCCGACTCCGACACACCAATCTAGCAACCGATCATTGTAAATACATTGTAAAAACATTCTTTAATCCGACAATCAACACAGCCGGTCGGATGATCCGACCGTATACAAACATCACACATGAAAGGTGATTAGTGCGTGCCTTACTGGCTGCTTAACACCCACCTCAGTGAACATCACACTTGTAACATATTCAACATCCGGGTCATAATGGCAGCTGATATGCGGTAAAAACAAACGTGAGTTTTGTGCCAATGTGGTCATGAAATAGATATGAAACTGTTCGCTTATGTGATTATATATGTATGTTATGCCATCTATGAATGTTAATAAATGAAAACAAGTATGTATTGTTAGTATTTCTTATTTCTGTGAATATTTTTACATACGATGAAGATAACTAGATCTACCATTTCTGATATGCATGCAACAGTATGACGATCATGACATTTAGTAAACATTGATATTTTCACACAAATACATTAATCCAACATTTTCATTAATCCGACATTTTCGTTAATCCGACATATTTCTCTGCAACCACAAGTGTCGGATTAACGAGAGTTGACTGTATATAACAGTTTACTCAGGGTTCATATTTTAATGGGTCAGTGAGTATGGTTATACTTATATATTAGAAATATTCAAGTAATATGAAAGCAAGGGATATCAGAAATGGGGTTCACACATTGTATCTATGTGAAGAATCAAACCCAGGTCTTCAGCTGAAACCACCAGGCTACCTCACTGCACCCTTACAGCTTGTCAGGTACATGATGTAGCAAATCATATGGAACTGAAGAGGACCCAGAGTACAACTCACCATCTCCAGTGCAGTAGCACCCGGGAAACTTCTTGAAGTATGTGGTCTCGAACCTTTCATGGTCTCCATACACTGTCCTCATGATGCTGGGCCAAGGCTGCTTGAACACCTGGAAACAGTTGGGCCAATATGCTGAACTTGATTTAGGCACTTCAATGTACGATCCGAAGTCATTGGTTTCTTTGTTGTGTGACACAAAACTCCCAGCTATATGACATTCACTTGTAAATAATCAATTCCGGACATTTATCATGTCGGATGTCTGAACTTTCTGGATGTCAACTGTCAGGAATTTATTGGATATTTCAAACCAAGCTTTTTTATACTGAAATATGTTGAATGGTCAATTTCATTGGAAACAGTATCATCTGGGATTACAAATTTGGGGGGAAAATAAACTCCACCTACCAAATATCCTTCAGCGGCCCCTGTGAGTTCCTTCCCCTCGTCATTCACAATGGCTGGAACTACGCCGAAGAAAGGGAATGTCTGGCAACAAAACAAGGAAGATACATCAGGCATCTAATTTAGATTTTCTGCATATTACACAAAAGTTTTAGCAAGTGTCAGAATGAGTGAGTTTAATTTTACGCCACAATCGGCAATATTTCAGCTATATGTCAGCGGTCTGTACATAATCAAGTCTGGACCAGACAATACAGAGATCAACAGCATGAGCATTGATCTACACAAATGGGATACAATGACATGTCAGTGAGCCTGACCACCCTATCCCATTAGTCGCCTCTTACAAAAGCATGGGTTACTGAAGATCAATTCTAACCCGGATCTTCACGGGTCTGCAAGTATCGGAGACGACAGTGTCTCCATGATACAGGATAGGAGGTTTGATCCTCGGCCACATCATACCAAATGTATCTCAGTGGGCTAGCACTATTAAACAGGCATACTTCCAGGCTAGTACAAGCGACTCACACAGACATATGCCACATGAACTTCGTTTCATTTCATTTTACCTCATCTCATCTTATGCACTGGATGAAGGCAGAACAACACTAAACATGGACTTCCAAACTGTTATTTATTTTTATTTTTCAAATTTGATGAAAATTCTACAAAAAAGATCTTTGGATGGCTGTTTCAATATACATCAGCATGCAATATACACTATCATATTTATGAAAACGTTGTAAGTTACATTACAAACCTGTGTAACAAAAATGTAATTTTTGGAGTAAAATTGATATTTTATACTTATCCTGACTCATGCTCTTTTTGCTTGTCTTCTTCTTCTTGCGAACATAGTGGAACACTTGTATCTCCCTAATTGAAGCTCCCTTCAATTTAAAATCACTAATTAGTATTCACCACGAGTTACCTCCTTTCCACAAGCGCGGGAACGAGGGCGCCACCTCTACCCATGTGCCTCACTCTCTCCTCATATACTGAGCCCAACATTTGAATTTACAGGGAAATCCAAAGTGTTATTTGGGGAGGATGGGAGGGCTGACCTCATGAGTCAGGATAAGTATAAAATATCAATTTTACTCCAAAAATTACATATTTTTCCTTATCCTGACTCATGCTCTTTTTGCTTGTAGCATCCTACGGAACGGAGGTGGGAATACTAATACTTTGGATTTTTAATAATTAGTGATTTGAACTGTGATGATTGTAATAACCCTATGGGAACTTCATAAAGGCACTGAACTGATGAATTCCTGCTGCTAACTTATCAGCTGCCATATAAAAGGTTATTACCATGTACTTATTATGATAAAGTATATATAACATTAATACAATGCTTAAGACTAATAGACTTAAGCTTGTTAATATGCTAGTATAAACTCCTTAGAGTTTGTTAGCTAAAATACTTTAAGATATAACATAGTACTAAGCTTAAGATATGATTAAACTTAAGCTAATTATATAATAGCAAACTCTTTAGAGTTTGTTAGTTAATATACTTATATGATATAGATATAATGCTGAGCTTAAGATATGAATAAGCTTTAGCTATATATATAATAGCAAAAACTCTGTAGAGTTTGTTAGCTAATATATTTTTATAATATGAGTATAGTACTGTGCTTAAGCTATAATTAACTTAAGCTACATATATAATAGCCAAACTCTGTAGAGTTTGTTAGCTAATATATTTTTATAATATGAGTATAGTACTGTGCTTAAGCTATAATTAACTTAAGCTACATATATAATAGCCAAACTCTGTAGAGTTTGTTAGCTAATATATATTATAATATTAGTATAGTACTGAGCTTAAGATATAATTAACTTAAGCTACATATATATAGCAAAACTCTGTAGGGTTTTGTTAGCTAATATATTTTTACAATATGAGTATAGTAGTGTGCTTAAGATATAATTAACTTAAGCTACATATATAATAGCAAAACTCCGTAGAGTTTGTTAGCTAATATATTTTACAATATGAGTATAGTAGTGTGCTTAAGATATAATGAACTTAAGCTACATATATAATAGCAGAACTCCGTAGAGTTTGTTAGCTAACATATTTTACAATATGAGTATAGTATTGTGCTTAAGATATTATTAACTTAAGCTACATATATAATAGCCAAAAAAACTCTGTAGAGTTTATTAGCTAATATGTTTATAGTGTAACCATAGTACTAAGCTTAAGATAAGATTAGACTTAAGCTAAATGTATATAGCAAAATAAACTCCTTAGAGTTTATTAACTAATATACTTTTTATGTTAAAAACATAGTACTGAGCTTAAGTTATGATGAAACTTAAGCTATATATATATAATAACAAAACTCCGTCGAGTTTTGTTAGCTAATACCTTTATAATGTAAACATACTGCTTAAGATATGATGAAAACTTAAGCTAATTGTATAATAGCTTGAAAACAACCCTTTAGAGTTTGTTAGCTATGATATAAACCTAGTATTGAGCTTATGAAGGAAAACTTAAGCTACATATATAATAGCAAGAACTCCGTAGAGTTTGTTATAATGTAACCATAAAGCTTAAAATATGATGAAACTTAAGCGAAATATATAATAGCAAAACCCTCTTTTAGAGTTTTGATAGCTAATATACCTATATGATATAAACATAGTACTGCTTTAAGATATGAATAAGCTTAAGTTACATATATAATAGCTAAAACTCTGTAGAGTTTGTTAGCTAATACATGTTATAATATAACCATATTGCTTAGAAATATGATGATACTTAAGCCAAATAGCAAAAAACTCTTTAGAGTTTGTTAGCTAATCTACTTATATGATATAAACATAGTACTAAGCTTAAGATATGAATAAGCTTAAGCTACCTATATAATAGCAAAACTCCTTAGAGTTTGTTAGCCAATATATTTTAATAATATGAGTATAGTACTATGCTTAAGGTATAATTAGCTTAAGTTACCTATATAATAGTAAAACTCCGTAGAGTTTGTTAGCTTAATTAACTTAAGCTATGTATAAAATAGCCAAAAACTCTGTAGAGTTTGTTAGCTAATGCATTTATCATGTAACCATAGTATTACTCTTAAGATATGAATAACTTAAGGTAAATATATATAATAACAAACTCTGTAGAGTTGTTAACTTATATATTGTATGATGTAATAATCATAGTACTGTGATGATAAAAGGAACTTAAGTAAATTATATATAGCATGAAGCTATTAAGTATTGTTATAAGATAAGTAAAAATCTGTTAGATTGACTTATCTTCTCCGAGGAACTGTCAGCTGTTGTGCGAGGACCATGGGATCGAATTGGTGTATACCTGAGACGTCCTCGGTGGTGATATCTCTCAGATAATGGTTTGCAACCACCATATCGGATTTCCAGAAATAAACCCTCCATTATTTCAATCACATTTGTGTAGAACAATTCTAGAAGTTAGCGCTATAATATCATGAGTATTAAGCTCATGGAGGGTCGGAATAGGTCCATCCGCATATGCACGTAGTATGACAGTTCTGATCCAAATGGAGATATAGTACATGAGACTTCACTCTGCGTAAGTTGATGATAGAGGAAATAATCTGTTGCATTTTTTTCCTCCTGTTTGGTTTGGTGGAGATAAATTTACAGTGCTCTTGCTGGCCATCTTGATAGAATCATCGTATCATGGGGTCCAAGTATGTCATCCAGGCGTGTTCATAAACCTCACTTGTGAGGTGTTGGAGCACTATATTCATATCCCCAGGTTGGGCGTGAAATTTCCGTTTTATTCTCCAAACAGAAGTTTAGTAGGTTTACTAACCATCTAGTTGTGTTAGTTGCTTGATGAAATTCAGCTGTAGTCTGAAACGCTGTGGATTTAGATCCAGTTGTATCTTTCGTCTAGGTAATTCGCTGCGAAGTCCTTGACGATGTAGGTGCACAACCAGGTGTGTCTGTCCTCGTTGAACTTTATGTAAAATCGCCTGACTGCCGATCCCTCGTCTTAACTTGACAGGGGAGGTCTCTAACTTGAAGAAAGGCAGTCTAATCATGAATGTTCAGGTTAACTGGACTGTAATGAGGCTTGCTCGTTCACTGATATATAGTTGTCACTTGTGACGTAAGTCTTGAACTGTGAACAGAGATCGACCTCTGTGTAGGTCGTTGTCCCTCGCGGTCCAATCAGAACAAAGCATTTTGATTCTGTATAAATACCCGCGCTGTGATGTCACCGGTGTAGCGGGAAAAAAACCCACCTTGAATAAATTCTTGTCGTCGTTGATATTAGCATAAACGTCGGTCTTCACCGTAGCTTCCCGAAGTTATCCGAGTGACCACGTGTTTCGAGGGTTAATGGTAACCGCGCGAAACCTCCGGCGCGAAATATCTCGCTCTGTAATTTTATGCTGGGTAGGTTATTTTCCTGGTTGTCGTGAAAATAATTTCAGTTTTGAATATAATTCCGACTTCCTTATATATAAGGGTATAAACAACTTGCAAGTTGTGAGCTTGTAGACTGTATACATGAATGTATCGTCATAATTGTAGAATTAACGTTGAACTTGTTGTACATATTTCTTCTCAGAAACTTTGACGATTAAGAGTTATACTCGCTGTAACAAGGCTGCTGTTCAATTTTGATATTGAATTGTCTGCAGATATGCGTAATGGTCACGCATGTAGATAATCGTATCGTCGTCCGGGATTGTATATTAGCAATTTATACGGAATAGTTGATTTCTGTGAAGATCTATGAAATGTCGTTGACTAATAATACAGCGACGTTCTGTGTTGTAAATAGCCTAAGCAATTATCTTCGCGTAGGCTTATAGACGGCATCTGGCATACAGTTGATAATCAACTTATGCGACGTCTTGAACGGACTGACGAGTAGCTATATATGACGAGTGGCTAGTATATGGAAACCTTGGAGGAGACTTCCTCGGTGAACGCCGGAGACTTCGCGAAGTTCTCGAAGTATCCCTTCTAGATCTTCTGGGTGAAGTAGACTTGAGTTACACTTAGCCTTCGCGACCATCGCGAAGGTGTCGAGTCAAAGCCCGATTAGTATATATATATATATATATAAATATATATATGAGCGCTTGCTTCGTGAACAGCCTCTGTGTTTAACAGGATGTGGGATCGGCGAAGCGCTTGCCTAAGTAGGGCCGCATGGATCATCTTATCATATTCAGAAGTCGTGTTACGAAGTCTGGTGATAAGTGTCTAATTGATCGTTCTAGATCTATTTAGGCCAGCGAACATACGTCTCGTCATGGATTCAACAGAACCAATATACGATTGTAGTTCTTATACTTGATATCGATGATCAACTTGTCTATGGGTTGATCTTCTCGGAGACTTGTGAGGGGAACGTTGATAGTTTCGCGAAGCTCTTGTATAGTCCCTCGATGTCCTTCTAGATGATGATGATCTGGATTCAGGTGTCCTTCGCGCATGCCTTCGCGAAGCTTCCTCTGCGTCCGGTCCGGGGGAACGACGATATGACCTTCGCGAAGGCTTCCACATCTAGGGATGAAACCGCATAAGGTGATGATCTATCCTGCCTTCGCGAAGTCCTTCGCGAAGGCTGTACATCTAGGTTCTTTCCGCCTTCGCGAAGGCTGTACATCTAGGTCCTTTGCCGCCTTCGCGAAGGCCTTCGCGAAGGCTGTACATCTAGGTCCTTCGTCAAGGTGGTCCGTGACTTCCTTCGCGAAGGTGACATCGTCCTGGCTGCTACGTTGACGGGGGGTGCCTCTCGGGTGCTGTCTACGTTGGAGCCTTCGCGAAGGCTCGGACCCTGCTACCGCAGATATTGGTCCTCCATGATGTTCATAATTTGTCGCATCATGTCTTCTGGGATGGTCTGCGACGAGGTCGTCGGTGCTTTATCTGCGGTGTTAATGGAGGGGTCCACCGGAAAATCGTCCGACATCAGTGTAGAGGCATCAGGCTGCATGGTGATCTCTGCTGATGTCGCTTGTAGCTGTCACCGGTCGTTTCTTGTGGCGTCGTCGGGGATGATGATCAGCTGATCATCGTAGAGGTCCAGGTCATCGGTTGGAACAATCTCGCTGAGAAAGTCCTAGTAGACTTCGCTGATTTTCCCTCAGAGGTCGACGCTGCCCTGGGTGTGCGACGCCTGCGCTGAGTGTTGGTAATGATGGGACCCTCAGGACGATCATCGCGATATCTGCGTTGGTACATCAGGCTGCATGCTGATCTGTGCCGACATCGGTCAATCTTTGATGTACAACCGGTATGATGACCGGCTGATCATCATACAGGCCCAAAACTTCGATGGGAACGGTCTCGGTTGTTGAGATGTAGTAGAAAAACCCTCTAGTCTTCTGCTGCGACGATGGGATGTCTGGGGAAGCAGGATGCTTCTTGAGATGGCGGACTACGCCCCACACCTCTCCACCACTCTAGCGAACACCACACGGGAGGGGAGTCGGCCAACAGCAGTAGACTGGCGAGGGTTCCGTATCAGTCATACTAGACTCTGCATACGCGACCTATCTGCTGTGCGTGACAAACGCAAAGTAAATATTAATAAAAAGGTAGAATTGGATAAATTAGTACCGCAACTGCAGTGTGAATATAATAAACATGGCGCCGTACATCATATTAAAGGCGGATCAGCAGCAGCATAAAAAACGTAATCTGCAATAGTACAGAATTTTCATCAACGTAATCCACTGAAACAAACACGGCGTCCCGTGAATAAACTGTAGAAAAACGACTAAATATCAATATATAATCGTTGAAGGATACTAGCTAAACCTCTATAGATGTCTATACGAGGTAACTAACTAAATATAAATCAAAGGATATAGTGTGTCGGGAGACACAGGCGCTCTCACGTCCAGCTCACTGGGCGAAGAAGGAGAGAGTGAGGCACATGGGTAGAGGTGGCGCCCTCGTTCCCGCGTTTGTGGAAAGGAGGTAACTCGTGGTGAATACTAATTAGTGATTTTAAATTGAAGGGAGCTTCAATTAGGGAGATACAAGTGTTCCACTATGTTCGCAAGAAGAAGAAGACAAGCAAAAAGAGCATGAGTCAGGATAAGGAAAAATTTATGTCTTCTGCACCACAGCGAGGTGTTTCTCTAACAGAAGTTAAACAACTACATGTTTTTACTGATGACAACTTGAGACTGACAAATGTGAGAGAAATCTGGGTATGAGACTGGACTCACAGCTGATCCTGGTTTTGTGGCAGTGGCACCGGGAAGTGGAGTGATCACATGACCTCCCTGAAACCGAAGTATCACAATCACAGAGAACATCAATAAATAGTTACACATAGGTGCATATGAACTAGTTGACCCCAAGCACGCTATGCGTTGAGAAAGTGACATAACAGTCTGGTCCACTTCAATTGAAAGTCTACGCGCACAGTTTCACAAACTCAGACAACAAAATCAATTTTCCCCCAAAGGTATTGTTTGGTTAAAGAGACATCTCTAAAATGAAATTACATCACAATGCTTTGTAGACCATTGTGACATCATCAATTACCATGATGACATCACTAATCTGTCTGCTGGATGGCTGTAATGTTTATACGCAACTCACTAATTATTACTGTTTACAAACTAGAAAAGAATGATTTCTGATGATAAATAGAATCTCATTCTTGTTTCTTTGCTACATCAAATACATCACTTGTCACCGAAAGTAAAAATCTCCTCAGCATGAGTAGGGTCGTAAACAGATATCAACTCAAGTTGATAGATTTGATATCAAAAGGCTCTTGAGTGAGACTGTGTCTTCACTTACACCAGTCTAAGTAAACTTAGGCTCAGTATTATTCGTTACACTGCTATACTGAGTCTTACAAAACCTTGTGGAAGGTCGCGTCAGCTGACCTTTTCAATGGACCAATCAGAACACAGCTTACCAAATCGCGAAAGTTGACATTTGCACATGCCTTTCGAACTTTTACCTCGAAAAAGTTTTGTACCCGAACGATTCCGAATGCTATTTTCCGTACGATTGCTTCCGAGTGATGCACATGGAGCACGCCACAAGAGTGAGTAAATAATCGCAGAAAATAGCTTTTTGTCAGTATTCAAGGATGTCAGCTTTCGGAAATATTAGCTAATGATAGCCATGTCAACAGAAACCCAAAAGCGTATATTCTGCAGGTCATATATCTGTGTTCTATGCAGGTTTTCATTTGTTATGAGATCAGTGTTGGCAACCGGGGAAGAGAAAATCCATTTTGTAAGTCCTGCCAAACCCTAAATAGTAGCCGTTGTCTGATTGGTTAAATCCTTTCGGCCGGCTCGCGTTTGATTGGACAGTCATAGGTCGCTCAAAGGTTACCTGACGTGACGTTCTACAAGGTTTTGTTAGACTCAGTATAGCAGTGTAACTTAGACTGCACTTACACAGAAGCTCACTTCTGTCATGTGTTTCTGTTTTGTTCTGACGGATGTGCGATATAAAACAGATCTGTGATTTTGTGGGGCCACTTGTAATGTTGTTTGCAACTCTAGGTTACTTCACATTAACACTGAGGAGGATCAAACACTTTTATATTGAAAGTATGCTACACATTGAGTTGAGTCAACTGCAGCATTTGAAATTAACGTTGCTCCTTAAGCCCGAAGCCGACTGAAAACCACTCGGACCCACAGTTTTGTTTTCTGCAGGTACTTATGGACAACAGCTTTTTCATCTCCAATAACTAAGAGTATTATTTCCATATCAAAATATAGGGCCTACACATTCTGATCAGGACCCACAACATTTTATGGTTCTGGGTCCTTAGGGCCTGCAGCTATTCAGGGTTAAGGGCAAACTGTACAGTTGACTTACCGTCTCTGTCTGCCAGAACGTGTCTACAATTGCACATTTTCCGTTGCCCACAACCTTGTGATACCACAGCCAGGCCTCAGGGTTGATGGGTTCGCCTACAGTGCCCAAGATCTTCAGGGACTTCCGGGAGTATCTACAAAATAATACAGAACGATACAGACCGAACACATCTGAGCGCCCTAGAACTGCACAGCATCACATTCCTGGACACTATCATACACTTTTCGAGCATAAGCACTGCACTATTTCTTGTGTGTTCTAGTAAATTGCGTAAAAACATGCGACATGTTTCGGTATTATTTGTATTGTTTAACCTACAATCTACACAGAAATATATTCATACATGATTTATCCCTTCAAAATTGATTGACAAAACTACAGAAATGAAGCAGCGATATTTTATCCTTCATTGTTATCTCCCTTGTATTCATCAACGACAAAATGGTAGAAACTGACAATGCTGAGAAATGTTTACTTAAACATGTCAAAAATCAGATTTGCATGTATTATGAGATCAGTCAATGTCAAACAGTGGGTATTAGGCTCTCTTACTAGCACAACTCAAAACACAGGGAGCAAACACAAGGATGAGAGTGTAGTTACTTTGTGACAAAGCTGTCCCCGAACTTCATGAGCGACCTGATGGCTGTGGGGGCGGTGTAGAACTTGGTCACCTTGTACTTGTCTACCACTTCCCACAGTCGTCCAGCATCAGGGTACATTGGCGTGCCCTCAAACTGTGACAGACATACAAACATTTCAACACAGGGATCAGCGTGCATGATAGACTTCTATGTACTAAGGTAAGGACAAAACCTTCATCATCTTTGCGAAATAACACCATTAGTCCCATGGCGATACAACATCTCTATTTCAAAATGCTATGTCATTTTTAATACACATATTGACTAATCAATTATTACAACTGAACTTTATCAATGCTGACATAACCATGTGTTTAAAGCATCCATCTGTCACACCAAAGACACTGGTTTGATTTCCAACATGGGCACAATGCGTGAGTGAGTGAGTTTAGTTTAGTTTATGCCGCACTCAGCAATATTCCAGCTATATTGTGGCGGTCTGTAAATAATCAAGTCTGGACCACACAATCCAGAGATCAACAGCATGAGCGTCAATCTACGCAATTGGGATACGATGACATGTGTCAACCAAGTCAGCGAGCCTGACCACCCGATCCCGTTAGCCGCCTCTTACGACAAGCATGGGTTACTGAAGACCAATGCTAACCCGGATCTTCACGGGTACACAATGCGTGAAGCTGCTGTGATACTGCTATAAGTGTCATAAAACCCTACTCACCCACACACTCACTCACTATTAACGTCAATGGTACAGACACAATGAACACTACAGCAGTGATATATCTCAGGTAATTTTAAAGTGCATGGGAGCAACAAACTCATGAACAAAACTTTATATTTTTTTAAATCCATTGTTTGAAAATCAGAGTCAGTGAGTGAGTGAGTTTAGTTTTACGCCGCACACAGCAATATCAGGGGTGGAAATAACCCATTGCCCGACGTCCGAGTCCAGTGTTTTTTTCTGTCGGGCAAGCAAATTTGAATATCACGCTGTACCGGTGTCCAGTTGACTTTCAAATGTTAATAATGTTGTTTATTTAAAAAATCAACAAGAACACGGACGGTATAGTGGAAAACTTATCAGGGCAAGTGATTTGACATGTGCCACTGTACCCGAGTAGACTAGCAATTTTAAAGTTATTTCCACTCCTGTAATATTCCGGGCTATATGGCGGCGGTCTTTGAAAATCAGAGCTAATCTAACCCCACATTCAATGCACAAATGTTACACTAATTGACTACAACACACGGGACTCAATCTACATCCTCACACACTCACTATGATGCTGGTGGCTCCATTTCCTAGCGGACCATAGCAGACATACGAGTGTCCAGTGATCCAGCCAACGTCCGCCGTACACCAGTACACATCGTCAGGTTGGTAGTCAAACACGTACTTGAACGTCGTCGCCGTGAACAACATGTAGCCTCCAACAGTGTGGAGGACACCTTTAGGTTTCCCTGTTGAACCACTGAAACACACAGATGATTCACATGATTCACAAATTGTACAGCAGGTGAGTTTTGTGTCCTGGAGCATGGTGTCGTCTTCACTGTCTTCTTGTTCTCATTGTGCACTCTCACATGCATGCAATTTCTAGGGTTGCAACGATTCAGTTCGATTCATCAAAAATCAAATCTGTCACCTTACTTTCGATTTTTGATAACCATTATCACTATTTCGATTCGATATTGGAATACCTATTTATATTATTTTCACACAGCCAGAACGTAATTTTGACTCCCAAGTTTCAGTCTTGAGTGCTGAAATAAGGCGAAACGTGATTGGTTGATGCCAGGCTAATTATTCAACGAGAATTGTTGTTAGTAGACATCGCCAAGTTGACGATGGATTTCCCACTAAAAAAGCCGACTCTGAGAGTTAAATGAAGTCTGATGTTTTTACTTGTATGAAGAATCAAATCGAAAATGATCAAATCCAGTGTCCAATATTGAAAATCGAATCGAGGTCTTGGTGAATCGTTGCAGCCCTACTAATTTCAGTGGGAGATATATTGTTTATGATAAATGTATGATGAGGTACAGACACTATCTGGGAAAAGATGAGTTGACCTGTTGCAAACAAATGGACCTCAGACGTTAACAAGCATGAACTTGTCTTTTGTTATTTTGCTGCCATTTCATAAACAATAAGCGTGTTGAATTAGAATGAAGTAATACCACTAAATATTCTTTCAGATTTGCACCATTGTGGCATGAGCAGAGCCAACAGCAGCTGTATCTATGTGCTGGTCTTCTGGACCTCTGACAAACTAATTCCCTTGGGTCATGGACCTCTGACAAACATGCAGTTTCTAATCAAACTTGCCGAAAACAATTTACATTCAATTTTTTAAAGCACTTTTTCTCATGTGAAAACCATGGCTATTCTGTGTACATGCTGTATCACAAGTTCAGTGCTGTGTACATATACAATGGTTGCTAGTCACTGATGATCATGGGACGTATGCACGGACAAGATTAAAGTTCAGTGAATTCATAATCCATGGACACTTTAGTCAGCAGCTCCAGCGATCACAGTCAGCAAAAGACTAAAGAATTAAAGTTGGCTCATTCTGTTGAAAACAAAAAGATGAATCCCACATGACAGATTTTGAAAAAAGGGAGATAATCACCTGGTATACAGCATGAAAAGTGGGTCCTCTGCATCCATCCATTCCGGCTCCGAGATGTCACTACTGTCCTTCATCACATCATGCCACCATACATCACGGTCACTGTGCCAGTTGATCTGCAAGATGTACACCACATGTTTACAAATTGGGCAATGCTATATCAGTAGAACTGCATCATGAGCAATCATCTAGTCACCAGAGGTGCCAACCCTGTTTGAACATGTTGAGTGAGTGAGTGAGTTTAGTTTTACGCCGCACTCAGCAATATTCCAGTTATATGGCGGCAATCTGTAAATAATCGAGTCTGGACCAGACAATCCAGTGATCAACAGCATGAGCATCGATCTGCACAATTGGGAACCGATGACATGTGTCAACCAAGTCAGTGAGTCGACCACCCGATCCTGTTAGTCGCCTCTTACGACAAGCATGGGTTGCTGAAGATCAATTCTAACCCAGAGCTTCACGGGTCATTTGAACATGCTGAAGCTCTGGAATAATTAGTAGGGTAAAATATGGTACCTTTATGCAGTGTATGAAATAAGGCCTGTCCGACTGCCCAAGACGGGTTAGATTTCTGACGGACGGTCTAAATTTACAGCTAGCCATCCGGTGGTCTGGTAAAGTTTTTTAGATAACATGTTCCATACACCTGAGTAATTTTCTTTGGATTGTCTGGTCTGGTTAAATCCATTTTGGGCAGGTAACATTTTGAAATTACCAGCCCTGATGTGTGGCTGGGTTTTTGGCTTATTTCATCCACTGCTTTATGTGAAAAATACTAATCGTTCTAGAATTCTTATTTATTACGATACTTAAACCTACTCTGGCAAGACATCACTGCTCTAGTAATTTCAATGTACACATCAGTTCCTAACAAGCCATCCATGTCTAACATATTTAAACATACATAAATAATGCAATGGGCACTGTAGGTTTGGGTCTTTCAGTTTAACTCTGCACTTTGCAAAATCCCTGCCATGTGGTGGCGGTTTGTACAAATCTAATTTGAATTTCTTGAACAAATTCAGCTTTGTCATGGTGGGAACAGTCCTGTGCAGTTTCAGTTTCATTTGCTCAGTAACTTGTGGGGAGTTTATGTTTGCATTGCAAGGAAATGTATTTTTAGAAAAATATCACATCTAACAAATGCGATCAGCTAACATACCAAATTTCAATTCATCATTAAAGAGCCAAGTAATGGTCATAAGAAATGTCAGCTTTCAGTACATACTGCAAGCATACTACATTTCAATACAAAAACAGATGAGTAATGGTGATGAATGAGTTTTTCAAAATGGTTGTTGTGACTTAGGACAAGCATGCCGCAGAGGAAAGAATCTTGAGAACTTTCGGCTTCAACGGTGCAGGGTTCCTCAGGAGTTTACGACATATGACATAGCTCAATGCTGGACATACAGGCAATGACATGAGTTTCAGTCAGGTGAACTACAAATCTAGTTCTGGCCTTAAAGATGTCCCCCAAACCCTCTAACCTTGAGCTTCCTGTAGGGCCTCTTGGCCGGAGGTTCATCATGGCCGTCCCCATCTCCATCAATCACCTCCTCATCAGACGGTGACAGATGCCGCACTACGATACACTTGGACACCTTGTGGCTTCTGGAATGAATATCATTTAATATGGAGATTTAAATACAGAATCCAAACCAATAGAGTCCATGTGACAAGAAACTAACTGCAATTCATTGTAGCCAAGCAATTCTTCTTGTGAATGTTTCCATAAACCAACAAATACACTCATGGAAACGAATAAGGGAACACATGAAAGTACAAGTGTTCCTTTATTCTTTTCCAGGGCCCCTATTCTCGAAAGGATCCTAGCCCTAGGATATCGTAACTTTCCTCCTAGGGTCTGGGATAGGTGTCCTACCTTATTCTCGAAAAATATCCTAGCGCTAGAATATCCTAACTTAGGACAAATACTAGGATAGGTTCTGACTTGTCCTAAGTCTATCTTAGTGGAAGTCAACATGGTATGGTTCTAGTTTGTTCACCAATTTTGACGTCAAACAAAATAACTCGCCTAAATTACATTTGAATTTACAACAGCACACAGTTTTGATGAGTTAAGAAGAGTTTTTTGTGTATACATTATCAATGTATCGGTAATGAATATACACACTTGTTGCAATGCACATATTCTTTAGATCTACAAAAGAGATTTGTTCAGTTCTTACCTATTCTCAGCCTTTTTAATCACAACTTTACTGTCACATTGCCGTGAAATTTCAATGTCCAGGCCAACTTGATAGGGGAAGTAACTCCTGTTTATTTCCTAAGTGATATTTAGGGGAATCCCCAACTTAATTAATGTTTTTCTATCTCACCTTCTGAAGAGCTCACTATCCTAGCTAGGATCGGTAGCTCAAGTTAGGACAGAGACAGGATCGTGTCGAGAATGGGTCTTATCCTAACAGTAGGATGTCCTAACTCCTGTCCTAACTAGTTATGATCTGTCTTAGCTGGGACACTTTCGAGAATAGGCACCCTGGTTTCTTCACAAGGTATGTATTGTACTGTGGGTGAAAATTTGGAAATAAAGGAACACTTGAGTATATGTCAGGCCTGCTGTTTCCCCATTGGTTGACACAGATAGGGGATTTCTTGTGTTGCATTATTTGACTGAATGATGTCATTGACTACTTGTACTGATGTATTGCAGCTATTTTTGTATTAATAATTAAATAAGCAGGATGTGAGTTTATTATTCTGATGCATATTGACATATTCATTTAAACACATTTACTTCATGTATTTGACATTACGGAGTTAAAATCTGATGTGAAAAGTTTACATACATCTGCCGCACATTCTTACACAGTGTGCACACTGTCATCTACAGACTGCATGATAGCAAAAAAGTTAACCTTCAATGATTATCGGGCACATAGTTTCATGAATAACTTGGAGTGACTTGGAGTTTGTATAGTTTAACGCTGCTTTTAGCAATATTCCATTAATATCACAGCAGGGAACACTAGAAATGGGCTTCACACATTGTACCTACGTCTTCCGGGGTCTTCGGCATGATGAGCAAATGCTTTAATGACTAGGAGGACATTTCAGTAAAAATTATGTACACTCATACAATGGATCCTGATGAAATAATATCAAAAGAACCCTCTTAATTTTGAACATTCACAACTTCTAATTTTAAACACACTCCAACAACTGGTTATGGAGGGATGATTTATCTCCATAAAACATACAGCACCACCCACAATCCCCAGCCTTGTTTCCTCTGGGCTGACTTATAGTGACAGTACTTACCTCTCTCCACTCAACCTAATGGCTTCATCCACAATTTGTTTGAGATTCAGAAGTTTGGTGCCACGCCACACACCATCTAGAGTAGAAAACAATGAGTTGTAGGACTTTGCTGTGCTCACATTCATCACAATTACATTAAACAACATAGACTCGTTAAGTAAACATATCATCCATAACGAACAGAAAGACAAAGCCATTAAAACAGTAAGTGACACTGCACTTCGTCATTCTGATAAATCCAGCAGTAATGAAATAATTATGTTTCAGTTTAACCCAGTGGCAATTAACACCACCGCTAATGGTGAGTGAGTTTAGTTTTACACCGCTTTTAGCAATATTCCAGCAATTTCAAGGCGTAGGACACCAGAAATGGGCTTCACACATTGTACCCATGTGGAGAATAGAACCCGGGTCTTCGGCATGACGAGTGAACACTTTAACCATTAGGCTGCTCCACTGCTCCTCATTAATGGCGATTGAGGAATCTTATTGCCGTTTATTGAAAGATGCTGTTGTTTTTTCTGGCAACTTGATGGTTACAATTCCACGTAATTACAACACTAACTGACAGCTGAAGACTGCATCACGTTCAGTGTTGTGATGAATAATATGTAATCTTTAATTAATTTAAATTCAAACTGGCATACAAAGACACAGATTCCAACTATAATGAACTGATATGTATAACCCAGTTACTTTCAGCATTGCATAACTTACAGTCAAGTAGACCTCTGCATTCAAAATAAAAGTTAATGACTAATAATCACACTAACTATTGTATCCATGATAATTTCAAACAGCTACTGATTATAATCATGACAATCAAGACCACAAAGCAATGCCTCATACACAATAAATACACCAATACCAGCCCTGCACCTTCAGCCATACTACGCCTTCCTCTAATAAAGCATGTCAAGGCAGCATTTGTCACCCTCCCTCCAATCAGCATCTACCCAGGTGGTGTTTATGACAATATTTATTACGTAAAACATATGCCGTGATAAAGTGCTTTGCTAACCATGCAAATCATTTTGTGACATACCACTCAAAAGATGTTACGTACATTGATTTTTTTTCAAATGACTATAGCTGATTTATGGCCCATTCATAACTACTCGCCTCTTTCCGTGACCTACAAGAAGACTCGTACCTGTATAGTACACCATTATTGAATTGTGGCAAACAATCAAATCGCTCAAAGTCAAAGTAAAATGTGAAATGAGGTCAAATAGTTTCTTTGTGATTATCAATTTTCATTATTATTTCCATGAATATTCTTGTTACTGATATTCGTTTATGACAAAGAAATTTACTTCAAGTGACTTTCGTGTTAAACAAATTTGTTCTTCTTGTTTTCTAGGAGTAGCCATGTTTGGGAATTTAGAGTTATCTTTCCTTGGAAAAAGTCCTAGACTATTTTCATCTCCATGCCCATTTGCGCTTAGACAAGGCCCTGTCGTAAATATGGCCATGCAAAGGGTGTGAGTCGCCATCTGGCTTGCCAGAATGACACAAGTAGTTACGAATGATTTGCGGCCATAATAGATTATTAACTACAGTCATTGTTGTTATATGGAAAAATTGTGACTTCTTTAACTTCTATTGAGTAGCATATTTTCAGAATAATGTTACCTGTGTTTCATGAAATGCCAGGAACATATTTAAAACAAAACGATAAACATATACATAAAAGGAATACTAGTATGTCATTATTACCATAGCATAGAGAAAATGGTCAATGTGTTCCATTTTGAGGTACATATAATGTACAATTCATTATTCACACAATGACTGTCATGACAATGAGGAATTTAATGAGGAATGGCCACACAATATACACAACAGAAAATATTATACACCATATTCTATTATTATGAGGATGTAGATATATTTCAATTTATTTACAACAGGGATGTTTTTTAACACAAGTTATTGGCATCGTAAGCATCAACCTATGCAGTTTAGCCATGATCGATTGCAATGAAAGGTTCATTTATTCAATTTTCAATGCTTTTGTTTATTTGAGTTCAAATCTTTTGTTGATTTCAGAGGTATTTTAACTTTCCATACAACACAATAATGTAAAAGTAAGCTTCATCAACTTCATTAGTCCTGTTATCAGTGATGTACAGGTCATTTTGACCACCTGTAACTCAAAGTACATGAAATGGGAATTTGTATATTCTCAGTTAGGAAGTTTTTCTGACACTTCATGCAGAATTGGTCTCGATATTGGCCACTTAGTTTGTCAAAATATATCAATGAATTTTATCACATTTTCAAAAGCTTAAAAAGACTTAGTTTGTCATGTGCAGAGCAATACTTTTAAAATATTTGTGTATTCAGTTATTGTACAATATGGCCCAGGGCCTAGATATTCGAAGCTCTCTTAGAGCTAAGATAGTCGTAAGTGCCATCCATTAACATTAACTTATGAATATCTTAGCGCTAAGAGAGCCTCGAAAATCTAGGCCCAGGTAACTGGCGTGACATACAATGCTAGCATCCAGCACTAATATCCTGAAATGATCATGATATTGATTACGTCACTGAAAGTGTACCCACAAAGTACACTTGAAATGTGTCCAATTTCTTTTAGGGCATATTTTTAATAGATCAAGGTCACCAAAGGGGAATAACTCCCAATGCAACTAGAAGACAGACCTGCAGTCATAACTGCTAAACATTTGGCATCTATGATTCTGTCTGCTAACGACTCCGAGGAATATCCAGCGAACTACAACAAATTAATAACACACTGATGAATCAATAAAATTAACATCAAGACTTCACACACCATATACAAATTAACAGACGATCTATGCAATACAAAATGTTAACAAATTCATAATTAATTTTCTACAAATATTCTGAACTATCAGTCAGTGTTAAAAAAACAATCATTAGAGTAATTTAATCCAAAAATATATCATGCTTTCAATCATTATTATTTCTGTAATAATGTGTTACAATAGTTGCAGAAATTCTTCACTAATGATTATCATATCCCGGGTTGGATAAAGTCATGTGACTATAACCTTCTAGCGCCTAACAGGCAGCTTGGGTTATCCGGGGTAATAAGAATCAGATTCTGATTAAGCGCCGCGAGCAATCACTTGGTGTTTGGAAACGTGCGCTATAGAAGATGACTTATTATTATTATTATGAGAAAGATTTACAAGAAACACTGTTCTTACACTGACATAAATAGATATTTACATTAATATACCTTCTACTCAAACACAAACAATACAGACCGAGTGTAAAGTTAATCAGGATGAAGAACAGTCAGACTAATCTAAGAATTATCTACCACGTCACATGCAACATGCAAAACAAAATGGTTAGGGAATAATGTGAGGTTAGGGAATAATGTGCGGTTAGGAAATCATGTGAGGTTAGGAAATCATGTGACGTTAGGGAGTTGTGTGAAGCTAGGGAATTGTGTGAGAGAAAAACCATCCCAAGGAAGAAGTAGTCATCACAAAAAAGTGGTGTTATTTAGGTAGCAACGATAAGAGACCATGGGTCCTTGAGAAAGATGGACATTCTGTCATAATATTGTGCTCCTTAGACGGAAATCAGACATGACTACACAACATCATTTAGAAGGTGGTCAGATGTTATATTTGGGTTACAGTTTCTCGGTAAAGTATGGATTCTAGCACTTTAGTTAGGTTGGATCCCATCCTGGATCTAAACCCACACTCTCAAATCTAGGCACCTAATCGCCAGCACACAAAGTCAGCCATCTAACCCACTCTGCCACCATGAGTGATGTAAACGTATCCTATCTAAGATGGCGATCTGTGAGAAAAGAGACACAACACAGCCATTCATGGGCAAAATGTTTTATTAATTTCTACATTCTAAGGTTTTCTATTTTAGCATTAACATGAAATTAAGCATTTCAAAACTTCTACTTTTCTGGTCCTGCTAACATTTTGAAAAATTAATTACAACTTTATCAATAACTTCTGATTTAATATATTAAGCGCCATTTTCATCCAGATTCTTAGAGTTATCAAGATGAAGGAGAGGTGAGGTGAAATTGGGTTTTACGTCGTGCTTGAGAATATTTCGCTCATATGACGACGTGCATGCATGTGTATGTGCATGTGCGGCTGCTTGTACTAGCCCAGACTTAAGCTGGTTTTATAGTGCTAGCCCACTGAGATACCATGCCACAGTGAAGCATGAATACCCCACTCAGACACATTATACTGACTCGTGGCCGACCAGTCCTTGATGTACCCATTAATGCCGAGCGCCAGGCAGGGACCAACAAGTACCATATTTTAACGTCTTTTGGTATGACGCGGTCGGGGATCTCCGGGCGGACGCTCTAACCACTACACCACAGAGGCGGTCGGTATAACACTGGAATCATATACCATGAGATTTGGCAGTTGGTATTGGATACAGGTGTGATTTTCATGAACACATATGCCGAGCACCGAGCGCCAGGCAGGGACCAACAAGAACCATATTTTAACGCCTTTTGGTATGACGCGGTCGGGGATTGAACACGCGACATTCCGCTCTTCGGGCGGACGCTCTAACCACTACACCACGGAGGCGGTCTTATCAAGATGAAGGGACGACAACCAAATACTGTAAGTATGTATGCATCTTGTTACAAACAGCAGATGAATGTTAAAAACAGGCAATGGATACCAGTACCAAGTAGCACACAGACACAACTGACATTTGCTCCAGATGTGAGGTCAAACAAACCACTGAGATGGTCTAGATGAAACATCCCAACCGATCCAAGCTCACAACACTAATCAATGGACACATCAATAGCTGTTTCGTTGACAGACAGCAGCATACTGACAATATATTATTCATAGGTTGCAGTATAAAATCCATACGAGTTGTTGAACACAGTGTTTGCCCGTAACCCTGGAAAGCTGTAGGCCCTAAGGGCCCAGAACCATAAAAGGTTGTGTGTCCTGATCAGAATGTGTAGGCCCTATATTTTAAAATAATACTCTTAGTTATTGGGAATGAAAAGCTGTCGGTCATAAGGAACTGCAGAAAACAAAAGATGTGGGTCCGTGTGGTCTTTGGCGGTTTCGGGCCAAAGGACAGACGTTAATTTCCAACGCTGGTTGGACACTGAAATGACTACACAGCGCTCTATGTAGTCCTGCCCTATTAAAATCAAAGGTCTGATCGAATGCTGAAACTCATGAGATACGAAACACAGCATGTCCAATGAAAAGGTTAATTAGAATTTGGTCAATTATCATTTCTCGAAAAATGGAATAATTTCTGCGAGGCATCAAAACACTTCCAGTATGGCTGCCAGTTCTGTTAACTGAGAACTGACAGCTGTGTATTCCTCTGTTTTAACAACAACTTCAACTGGTCAGTGATACATATCTACACATTGTTCTGAGAAAGTCTAAGATAGAGTTAAAGGCACTATATCACACCACACTTCTCTAACAATAAATAATGCATTTCTCTCAATAACTATCAGCCCTCGGGGAAGCTACCATATAATTTATCCCCCTAAAATTATGTATTTAGATTACAATATTAAAATAAAAAGTTCAAAAGAATTAATTTTTGATTAATTTTTCAATGTACAGAGCAATTCTTTACATTCCATATATGGCAAGTGTTCTCTGTTTGGAAGCTGTTTGGCTCGAAGTTTCAATTATCTATTTCAGGCAAGTCATAAGGGATAGTAAGTCTTTTATTGCATCAATAGGAAGGTAAAATGAGTGCATATGCCCCAACATATTGTATAAAATGTGTGACGTGCCTTTAACTTCCTCTGCTGGTATTTATAAGTCATATTAATTACCTGTGAAATACAGGTTACCTTCACAAAGTCACAAAATATATTATCAGCTATATGCATTAATATGAACTAGGAAATGCTAAAGTCCAAAGAAAGACATCTGCTGCAGGCTTCGGGCAGAATAATAGCAGATGAACAGATCTAGATAAATCCCCATACTATGGCTGCATGTTATACCGGTAACTGTCATATCACCAACATCAGTCGGCAGCTTGGAGCGTCAGTGTGTTATTTCTTAGCCAATAATATTCTGGTTTGTTCGCTTGTTTCTTGTCTACATATGCACTCAACATGATCAACACTATTCCAATATTATCATATATTCCTGGCTGTAAATAATCTAATCTGGAGAAGACAATCCAGTGGTTGACATATTGAGCACCATCAATCAACCAATCACCAAGCCTGACCACCCAAGCTGTGTGTAACCAAGGGGATTAACTGTTTCTGTACATTCTAGCAGTCCATAACCTGGGGACCACTAATTGCAACCATGCAGGGAACAAAGCCTCAACAGTTTACAGCAAGCTGACAATGGCATGACCTCTGAGCCACTTTCTACCCATTGCTGGTCCAGGGGGATTACTTACAAATCCTGCTGTCATGTTGACCACACATAAATAATAAACTGATTGTCATGATTATAAACTCTCAGTCACATATAAAGCAATGGATAACTATTTTCCAGAAAAGAGCATCCGTGATGCCATGGTTTATTTGTCCCTGAGTCAAACCTGCAAGGATGATAATGTTAGCGTTGGAGCTGTGGAGGCGCTGAGTGACGGCAAGGTCAGAGTACCCTGCAAACTAAGCAAGACGAGAGTGTGCTGGTTAGTAGACAGAGAACAGTGGAAAAAAGAAAGAGCAGATTAGAGCATGATACAACATAGCACTAAAGATGAAAACACCGAAAGTTACACGACTCAGCTTTTAATGAGAATATACACATGTATTTCAATCTCTCCTGATATTTTTGTTTTCTTTGTTTAATGTCGCCTTCAAAAGTATTCCATCTGCATTATGACCTGTAAATAATTGAGGTTGGACCAGACAATCCAGTGATTGATGTAATGAGTATTGATCAATGCTAAGAGAATGACATGCTATCTACAACATGACTCAGCCTAACCAACCAATCCTTTAAACTGCCTCATAAAGCTGGCATAGGTCGCAAGATAAGAATTCTAAACCAGAGTCGCCAAAACATTTTCGTGTAATGACAAAAACATTGTATGACATCCTCTCCAAGCAATCATTCTTACCTATAAGAGATCTTTCAAAAGGTAAACAGCAGATATTTCAAGTACGCTATTATACCTATGTTAATGAAAACAATTTACAATGAAATACACAAATACTTCACCATGGTTTGGTTCACTGGTTGTTTGCATTAAAGATATGAGTCTTGAACACGGAAACGCTGTATTGTTATTTGAACAAATATTAAACATGATTTTCAAGCGGAATTTTAATTGCAAATCTGTGACTTACTCTGACACAAAGCAATGACATATCTTGTTTGTTTATTTTTAACACCACACTCTGCGATATTCCAGCTATATAGTGGCGGTCTGTAAATAATCGAGTCTGGACTTGACAATCCAGTGGTCGATAGCATGAACATTGATCTATGCAGTTGTGATACAATGACATGTGTCAACCAAGTCAGCGAGCCTGATCACCCAATCCCATTAGTTGCCTCTTACGACAAGCATGGGTTACCGAAAATCAATTCTAACCCAAATCTTCATGCGTGCATGGAGACATCTATAACTACAATGCTGAATATAGTTTCTGTCTGTTCCTTAAATTACTATTAATACAACAATATAATTTGGGGATCCTTTTTTTACAAATAATATGAAGTGTCAGTTCAGCAAATTTACCACAAAAGTGGTCTATCTATCATGCTTATATCTAACAGCAATCAGTCCTTTTAATCAACATGATCAAATGAAAGAGTGAGTGAGTACGGTTTAACGCCGCTTTTAGCAATGTTCCAGCAATATCACGGCGGGGACACCAGAAATGGGCTGCACACATTGTACTTATGTGAGGAATCGAACCCATGTCTTCGGCGTGACGAGCCAAAGCTTTAACCACTAGGCTACCCCACTGCCCCGATCAAATGAAAGAGTACGCTGAAGCGTAATATACAACAAATAATTGTATTTTCCGTATTCAGAGTTCAATCGTTGGCCAGTTCAGCTGACTGACATATATTATTGCCCTGATTACAACAGCTGGCAAATCAACACAATCAATAACTAACAACTGGGACTGAGCATAGGCTGATACATATACATATGACATAGCTTTCATAGGGATGATATTATTGATGCTTGCTCTGTAACTACATTGAAAATACAAAAAAATCAACTTAATTGCGCCAGACAGCCAACTTATAGATAAATGTACTTTTTCCTTGACATATAAATCATGACAACTCAAAATTAAGAAAAAAGGCATCATGGCTAAACTGCAATGGCAACGTTAAAAGAAGTCCTGAAGGGCACACATTCACCAAGTTCAAAGATCCACATTGACCAAAAGTATTTCTCTAACTGGCACATCTATACATCCCTTTGAGTGTCTTGTGGAACCTTTGAAAATACCAAAACTGAATCCAAGTCCACGTTCGTTAACTGATTTAACACAGAAACGTGAACTGATATTATGTTCCAGTGAGTGAGTATGGTTTTGCGGCGCTTTTAGAAATATTCCAGCAACATCACCGCAGGGGACACCAGAAATGGGCTTCACACATTGTACCCATGTGGGGAATCGAACTCGGGTCTTTGGGGTGACGAACAAACGCTTTAACCACTAGGCTACTCCGCCGCCACGATATTGTGTACCAAACCATGAGTGAAGTCATGTGCACTACATTTGCTTTCAAATCTCATTCTATAAAAAAAAAATCAAAACTACATTTAGCAGTATAATAAACAAAAAAATTTATGAATGCCTTATAAACATCAAACCCATGGGTAAAATACCCAAATAAGTAAAAGCTGATCTGGAGCTCTGAACTGATGAACTAATCTCTATGTAAACTATTTTTAAAACTAAGACAATTTTCATACATATTTTATAATGAAGGATTAATCTTTAAGGCAACAAAAACTTTATAATACTGCCCCGAGAAAATGTGTTCCTGGTGACAAGTTCTTGACAGAATACATCTGAGTATAATGACTTTGTTTCCATCTAACTTACTTCCTGAATGATTTCATATAACTGATCATATTTTAGATGAATTGTGCCAGCAGGATCATTTTAATTAAATTACACCTTTTACCCAAAAATGACAAATTGCAATGAAATACACAGATACAGATAGTGGTGTCCTGATATGATTATTTCCAAATGGATACATGTGATGTTGGCATTACAATTGTATGATTATCATGTATAACTTCATTAGGCATTAATTTTCCTCTGTACCAATGTATCAGTTAATCATGATTATCCTAGTTGTTATGGTAACCAGAAACACAGTTATTGTTTTATTTACATTACAACGTGCAACAAAAACATAACAAAGCATTAAAACTGAAGCAAAGTAAGCATGGCGAGAATGAAGAGACGTGAAACGAATACGGCTAGTGCTCAAGCTACAACTAAACCAACAAAGCTCTGTAAGGTACAAACAGAAGCAATGCCAGTTAATGGAACCAAAAGGTACCAAACAATGTTAAGTGGAGGAGTGTACTACAAGCATCATGAGGTCATACCACAATGGAATGAATGGCTCCTATCCTGGCACAGGCCAACATGGCTATCGTCAGCTCCACGATCATCGGCATGTAGATTGCCACACGATCCCCTTTCTTTATTCCTGGAAAATAATAATAGAATAATAACATTACAATATTTATAATAACATTGCATCATGTCAAAATGTATTGAAATGAATGGTGCTTTTACCAACACAGTTTCATGTTCCGACATGCTTATAGGTTGTACCATGATGCCACTCGAACCAAAACATAATGCTGGTACACTGAATTACTGGTGTTTATCAAGGATGGCCGCAGTAACCAAAGGCCCTCGTGTCTTTGCGCGGATTAATATTTTTTTTTAAATACATAAAAATTTGAGATGACCCCCGACTCTAAATGCTTCACAGTACAATACATTATGACAAGGCCGGACACCTCGATGCACCCCACCCGACAGTTTGCCGATCACTACGCTACAATCGCATGCAATCGATCAGAACTTAATGTAAACATAATCATGGATGATTGGCCTATCGAGCACCACTCGTTTCACCTACCAATTCTTTATTGTTATTTCTGCAAGTTGGTTGAAACCCGATTGTGACTCTCAACTAAATTATCTTGGCACAAATGGATGAGGATGTGTCCGCACAAAAGAAGGAGGGGAGAGAGTTGTAGGTGTTTATATCGAGCCCTGAGTACCTTAGAGAAACTTTGAAAAGTCAACCCTTGAGCATGCTGGTCAATCCGATCACTTTATACACTACCCGTTTTGTGCTGTCCATTTCCTTGTTTTGTTTAATTGTAAGTACAATACCAAGTACAATACCATAACCTCAAAACGCGTGCTACTTAGAATAGTCAGACAGAACTTAAATAACAACCGTTGTCTCTCAAATCAGTTGTGGCTGTTATACTCACCCTGAGCCTTGAGAACGTTGGCAAACTTGCATACTTTCTGCAGCAATTCCTTGTAGGTTATTTTACCATGGTCGTTGGGGTCATTCCCTTCCCTGGAAAAGACAAGGCATTTGGAATAACAGGATTATATGTTGTGCTGTGCTGTGCTGTGCTGTGCTGTGAGGTGAGGTGAGGTGAGGTGCAGTTAAATGTCGCAAATTCATGATTATACCACATATATTCTGACTGACTGAATATGGTTTTACACCACTTTTAGCAATATTCCAGCAATATCCCGGCGGGGGACACCAGAAATGGGCTTCACACATTGTACCCATGTGAAGAATCGAACCCGGGTCTTCAGCGTGAAGAGCAAACGCTTTAACCAGTAGGCTACCCCACCGCCCTATATTACCACATATATGTCGACATTAACAAGAGAATGTTAGTATTTCAGTCCTATTACTGTGTAACTTCCTTAAGTGGCATTTTTAGATGCTGGTATGATGACGAAGAACAATATTATGTGGATTGACAACTTCTTTATTGCAATGAATGCAACGTATCATCACTGCTTGATAACAGTGTTACTATCTAAACTGAAATGTCACATCCATTGCAATATAGAAGTTGTTAATCCAGTCTGCAGGGCTGTACATGAAGGCCCAAAAGGTAACACCTTCGGGGAAAACCCATGACATGAGTTCCACCAGAAGTTACAGTATATGACCCATGAAAATCCGGGCTGCAATTGATCTTAAGTAACCCACGCTTATTGTAAGAGGCGACTAACGGCATTGGGTGGTCAGGATCGCTGACTTGGTTCACACATGTCAATGTATCCCAACTGCGTTAGATCGATGCTCATGCTGTTGATCACTGGATCATCTGGTCCAGACTTGGATTATATATAGACCACCACCATATAGCTGGAATATTGCTGAATGTGGCATTAAACAACAAACCAACCAACCAAAGTATCATAGAAGTTTGATGTCATTAGAAAATGCCACCTTGAGTCCGTTTCCACCACTGTGTCTGGCATGTATAACATCAGAGTGCAAAATTTGAGCCATGCAGCTGGACTGACAGGTCTAATAAATTGCTTGTCCAAATTTAATGTACACACTTCATCACGTTTCACTGATGTGCGAAGAATAATTACTGAAACGTTCATAGCAATACTAAAGGTCATCATCTAAATGCCACACACAACATTAATCATATCCTTTATCTTATTTTATTATTTAATTAAATCTTCAAAAAAGATCAGCCAAAACTGTCTTTTAAAACCATCTTTTAAAAGTTTCTTTTCCAAGACAGTCATTGATGGTCAGAGAGGATCTAATTTGAATTTTAAGCAATCAAATCAAGATAATAAGCACTGTAAGGTAAGAGAATCCAGGTCAGTAATCATATCCCTGATATCTGCACCAACAGCAGTTTCAGTGTCGTGGACAATGTGGTGACCTGCACATGTTATCAATGGGGGCGTATGTGGAGGACTGTAGCAGGACTGTAGCAGCACAGATAACATGACATCACAGTCATGATAACAGGTGCATGCTGGTGTGTAGTATCATGAAAATGTGAATGAGAAATTGCCCTGCATGTACATGGATACTGGTTTCTTGCATCATCATCATCTTTATATGAGTGATTGAGTGTTAATACCACTTTGAACCCGGGTTCGAATCCCCACATGGGTACAATGTGTGAAGCCCATTTCTGGTGTCCCCTGTTGTGATGTTGCTGGAATATTGCTAAAAGCGGCGTAAAACCAAACTCAGTCAGTCAGTAACACCACTTCGAACAATCTTCTAGGTATATCACAGCATCTCAGCTTAATGTTTTGAGTGAGTGAGTGAGTTTAGTTTTGCGCCTCTCTTAACAATATTTAAGCAATATCACACAGGGGGACACACAATGGGCTTCACACATTGTACCTATGTGGGGAATCGAACACAGGTCTTCAGCGTGATGAACGGACACTTTAACCATTAGGTTATCCCACTGCACCCTTAATGTTTTGAGGACAGGTCAAAGTGATTCAGTTCTCATTCACCATTTGGGAAAAACAAACAAGAACAGGTAAGGTGCTAACAAACCTACAAAGAAAATAGGGGCAAGCAGCGATTTAAATAGCTCAACATTTATTTGACAGTTATATTAATGGACAGCCCCAGTTCCCTTTCAATGAAGACTAAATCATGTGCTTGCATCTGGTGTAAATCAAATCACAAGAATATCCGAGACAAAATACAATTTGTTTGCACCTGAAGAAACCTTTTTCAAGTTTAGATTGTTAGATTACAATTTCTTACAAGGATCAGTGTCGTGATATGAGAAGCCAGCAACTGTGTCTCACAAAAACTTGCAACATCATCGTTTGACCTTCATTGTCATAAATTATCTTTGCAGTAGGAAGTGCTCTGATAGCCTATCCATGTTTGCAAGCCATTGTGTCCCCCTACCAGGCCAGCACTTAATGTGTATGCTATCAGGTGTTCACAGAATCAAAATTGTCTTTTGCTTTAGCAATCAAATATATCTTACCTTTAAACAAGGTAGGAAACTGGCATTGGAATAATATTCCATCAAAAGAGAGTACTATGTTGCATGTGAATTCAAGAACAGGATTTAAACAAGTTAATGAACACCAATTGAAGAGACAATAATGGTTGGGCAGAGCTACAATAGTGTATTTACCTTTGGTTCAATTTTCGATTCAGGTGTTTTCCATTTTGGTGCAGTCCAGTATTAGCATTCTGAATGAGCCTCTTCACTGGCCAGTTCTTTATGCAGTCAAACCAATGCTGTCACCTAGTTGGTTGTAACACCATACAAAATGGAGGCAGCAGAGGTTATGCCAATGCTGCATGACCCACAATGATGGCTTCGATCTTAAGTATGAGTGCATTTTGCATTTAAAAATAGAAATAACTTTGAGGATAAAACATGCAAAATCAGTTACACAGACGCCAGCAATAAAGCCTGCAACACCTCTAACATGTAACATCACCTGAAAGACATCACAATTTGTCAACCGAAAAGACTGGCACCAATGAATCACTATCCCCTTAGTCGTCTGTCAATGAACTAAAAGAAGACAAATATGGATAATTACAATTACAGGAAGTACTCAAAACGAAACTGTCACACAACACCATGAAATATACACTGCTGTATCAAACAACTGTCGGCTACCTAGCAAGTGATATAACACCCTATGGACAGTTCAATCTGAAGGCTTCAAATACTTGGTAAGTGTTCTCGAACGAAGATATGAGTTGCGTAGTAGAATTTATGTTACAGAAACTGTATGGCCTCATATTTATAGAAATGTTGTCCGTCACGTTAAAAAACATTTGAACAGTGCTCAGTACATTGCCATAACTAAAGATTCCTGGTATTCTCTATTGAATCGAAATATTCGAAATCAAGACTTCTGTACTATCTTAGGCAATGATGACATATCTTTGCAGCTCTAGTTCTGTGTACATCAGTCTGTAAATATAACATAAACTGAGCATACTGAAAAAACAATTTGACCATATCTGGCTTTCTGACTAATTGTTACTGGGCCAATCATCCAAAACAGCAGTGTACTAAGTCTCACGTGCATGTAATTAACGTAATTCATGGTTCATATATCCAGGGAATAAACTGGGGTTCAAAGAATCAATCTGCAATATTTTTCATAAATACTCATCATCATGATAATGTGTCAAACCATTATCACATGTACTAGACCTAAGTTTCTTTTGCATTTAATTTTTTTTTCGAGAATATTATTGTTTGAAAAAACTCTAAAAGTAGAACAAAAATAAGTCTGCAAACAAGAACAAAACATGCCTTTGCATATCTCAGTGTAGCAATGTTTGCTTAAATGTGACTGAACAAGAAGGCACCTTATACAAACACAACTTGAAGGCAGGGCACAGACTTAAGTTATCTTTAATCCCTGTACCACACACAGGCATGCAGTGTCAATATTAATTACTGTTCAGTCTTAAGTAGCTTGGCCTATACGTAAATATAATAAACTCCTGCCTCACATAGCTTCCAGCTGGGTCACACTGATCAAGCAGTCTGATAACCATGATAGGGAGGGGCGGTGGTGTAGCCTAGTGGTTAAAGCGTTGGCTTGTCACACCAAAGACCCGGGTTCGATTCCCCACATGGGTACAATGTGTTAAGCCCATTTCTGGTGTCCCCCGCCGTGATATTGCTGGAATATTGCTAAAAGCGGCGTAAAACTAAAACTCAGTCAGTCAGTCAGTCAGCCATGATAGGGGAACATTAATCTGAACACAATAAATGCATCAAACAACACTATTTATTTCTCTTATATTAAATTTGCAAACTTAACAGGTATGAAATGATAAGCTAACATTGCCTTGAAAAACTTGTATAGCAAAATAGATTACTCTCATGGTTATAGAGAGAGTTTGTTGCTGAAGTAAACAAGAGTCATCAGAAGATGACATATCCCCCCGGCCCCCACATCTTTGAAAGAACAAATCATCTGACAGTTACTTAAAGTCCAGCTTGATTTTAGACTAAGTGCAAATCGTTTCCATGGAAATCATGAAAAAAATAAATGACAAAAATCTGTAAATAGCAAAAGGCACCACTTCAAGATCTGACTCACATATCTGCCAAGTTTTGCTGAAAGATATTAAGAAGTTTTCCAGTTGTGCTCCAGAAACGAAACCTACCCCGCCCTTTTGAGACTAAGTCTGAATCGTTTCCATGGAAACCGAGAAAAATAAAAATGACAAAAATCTGCAAATAGCAAAAGGCACCACATTGGGATCTGCCTCACATATCTGCCAAGTTTTGCTGAAAGATATTGAGAAGTTTTCAAGTTGTGCTCCGGAAACGAAACCCACCCCTCCTTTTGGGAGTAAGTCCGAATCGTTTCCATGGAAACTGGGAAAAATAAAAATGCCAAAAATCTGCAAATAGCAAAAGGCACCACTTAAGGTTCTGTTTGATATATCTACCAAGTTTTGTTGAAATATATTGAACGTTCTTGAGTTATACTCCGGAAACGAAGCCCACCCTCCCCTTTGGGATTAAGTCCGAATCGTTTCCATGGAAACCGGGA